CTTTCTTGTCCTACATAGGTAAGATTGAATAGCAACCAAGGTAAATCAATTGGTTGTGGTTTGGAGCCGATTGGACTGGTTGTTGGTTGAGAAATGTGCATTGGATTGAACCCGAAAATTACCGATTTGAAAATCTTTTGAGAGAGCTTCCGCAACATGACCGTTATCCATCATATCGAGCTACCAAATTTGATTTTCTATCTCTTTAATGAGGCACATAATGACTATATTTTTCATTCTCATTTTTATAAAAATTGGAAACAAACGCCCCCCTAGGATATGAAAATAGTGCATTTTAAGTGTTGACGTGTAAGTGGTATCTAGGTTGAAAATTTAATCTCATACTTTAACCAATATTTTTGCGCTCTTTTTTTTTTTTTTTTAATTTTTTGGGATAGAACTGGCTGAAATATTGCAATTTGTTGCTATAAATAGGATGAGTGGTGCGTTTGGATTAGGAGAAATACATATTCATTTATAAAATCTGCCAAAGTTTGGTGGGTTTGCGGGCTAGTATGCCTAAAATTAATTTTAAGGGCATTTTTATTTCCAAAAAATCCCCAAAATTATCTATATTCTCAGCGCCACAGTTTATTGAGTAAGATATTGAAATAAAAAACATAATATAAGGTCCATTTTGTAGTAATAATAATAATTAACATGAAACTTCACTATTGGTTGAGTGACTAAATGATGTTTTAATCCTTGTGACATTACTCTCGTAGAAATGCATTATTTTTCCATCAATTATTAATAGCACTCGTCACTATCGCATGCTTTGCACGAATTTTGTATTTATCGTATTTTTATTAACGTATGAATTTTAATTTTTTGGAAAGTTTTTGAAACAATATCTAGATATATTTCCCTGATATAAGAAAATAATTGCAAATTATTTTTACAATTGCAACAGTATTGTGTTATCTAGAAAAAATATGATTGTATATTTCACGCTTGAAAAAGAAATATACGAGGTAATACAAACTATATTTCAGCTTCAAACGATCAAACTATTTGTTTATTTATTTTTTTAGTTTACCATATTTTTTCACCTATTTGACTAACTACCTTGAGGAGATAACAATGAGCTAGAACTACTATTTACATTTCAACAACAGAAATGAAAATAAAAAAATCAAAATCATTAAAAATTCAAAATCAGAACTCACCAACTTGAAAGGCTGAAGACGTGGGCTTTTTTCCAACCCAAGAGATCCATTATAACTACTTCATCTTTTGCTTGCCTCGTAAAATAAAATAAAATCCTTAATCTTTCGAGAATAATACCCTATAAAAAAATATACCTAGAACTGCAAAGTAAAATCAAACCAACATACATTCAATTCATAGTAACAATCTATATTTACTTACCAAAAACCCTTGTTTCAATAATTCTTTCGATTTTCTATGATGGAAAGCCTCTGTAAAAGAAAACAAAAATAGATGGTTAGAACTTCTAGAATGTCAACCACCGAGAAAACGAAATTAAAGGAGAACGAAATAGAAAAAAGAGAAGAAGAAATGAATAGAAGAAAGGAGAAGTTGTGCGATCGTGGATAATGAAGAAAATAAGTATGGAAGGTTGATTTAAGAAATAAAAGAAGTCAGACGGTTGCATGAAGAGGGGTGATGCATGATGGAAATAAGAAGACAAAAAAAAAAAAAGAAGTCATTTTGCACTTTGTACAGTAATATGAGATTCATTTATTGTTCAATCAACAGTACCATCTCCTTTCCCTTTTTAATAGAGGTTAGATATAGGTCAAACTTGTCTTTATACTGAGCAAGTTAACATCCCGCAATAATTGCATGTTGACTAAAGCTTAAAATATTTGCATCTTAGTACATTTATTTATAAATAAATAAGTTTGAACTAGTGGTTCGATTTATAATTTATTATTCATTGGTGTTGATAATATCCATCCATTTAGCAGCATTTTAGAAGCCTTATAAGTGTGAGGTTCAAGTGAGAAAATGCTTAAAATGGATATCTAGGAACTAAGAGATGACAATGTGGTAATCAACAAAATGTTTCGAGGAGTTGAAAATAAGCATTGACTTGAAAATTATCGAGCAGGGCAACCTTTCGAAAAATAAAGCAAAAGTAATTTCCATAATAGTAGCAAGAGAAATGGGTGCATCCTAATCTTGAAAACGGGATTATGGGACAACAATGCAAGCATTTATGATCCGAGGCAAACTAGTACATATATTGCACCCTAAATGTTGAAAGTCTAGTAGTAGAAAATATCATTAGCCTACACTCTGATTCGAATAGTATGAAATACGTGGAATCCTGTGTGAATCAGCAAAAACCACTTCGCTAAGCTATATACTTTAAGGCGACAAATAGCGAAGTAGTACCACAATGGAAGATGAAAAAAATTCTTATTAGGGAGTGAAATAGAGCATTAAACCTTAATGGAACCCACCAGAGCCATAATGAAGAACTATCTAGTGCTTGTTTGGTAGGGATTTTGATAATTGATTTTTTTTATCGTTAGAGATAAAGTGGGTCCTACCTATGAGAGAAGAATTCAAAAATGACGACTGAAATAGTGAAATAACAATCAGAAAATTGATTTTAATTGACTTAAAAGCTCTACCAAACAACCTCCTATTCAGAGATAAGGCTTGAGAGAAATTGAGCGGAGGTTCGTATAGACTAATATTGAAGAGTCAACGCATGAGTTCTGGATAGGGTGAATATGTCACTTAACTCAGAGCTAGTTGGATCTCCTCGAAATGCATTCATGATTTTAATTTAATATGCATAATTTATCAAACCAACATACATTCAATTCATAGTAACAATCTATATTTACTTACCAAAAACCCTTGTTTCAATAATTCTTTCGATTTTCTATGATGGAAAGCCTCTGTAAAAGAAAACAAAAATAGATGGTTAGAACTTCTAGAATGTCAACCACCGAGAAAACGAAATTAAAGGAGAACGAAATAGAAAAAAGAGAAGAAGAAATGAATAGAAGAAAGGAGAAGTTGTGCGATCGTGGATAATGAAGAAAATAAGTATGGAAGGTTGATTTAAGAAATAAAAGAAGTCAGACGGTTGCATGAAGAGGGGTGATGCATGATGGAAATAAGAAGACAAAAAAAAAAAAAGAAGTCATTTTGCACTTTGTACAGTAATATGAGATTCATTTATTGTTCAATCAACAGTACCATCTCCTTTCCCTTTTTAATAGAGGTTAGATATAGGTCAAACTTGTCTTTATACTGAGCAAGTTAACATCCCGCAATAATTGCATGTTGACTAAAGCTTAAAATATTTGCATCTTAGTACATTTATTTATAAATAAATAAGTTTGAACTAGTGGTTCGATTTATAATTTATTATTCATTGGTGTTGATAATATCCATCCATTTAGCAGCATTTTAGAAGCCTTATAAGTGTGAGGTTCAAGTGAGAAAATGCTTAAAATGGATATCTAGGAACTAAGAGATGACAATGTGGTAATCAACAAAATGTTTCGAGGAGTTGAAAATAAGCATTGACTTGAAAATTATCGAGCAGGGCAACCTTTCGAAAAATAAAGCAAAAGTAATTTCCATAATAGTAGCAAGAGAAATGGGTGCATCCTAATCTTGAAAACGGGATTATGGGACAACAATGCAAGCATTTATGATCCGAGGCAAACTAGTACATATATTGCACCCTAAATGTTGAAAGTCTAGTAGTAGAAAATATCATTAGCCTACACTCTGATTCGAATAGTATGAAATACGTGGAATCCTGTGTGAATCAGCAAAAACCACTTCGCTAAGCTATATACTTTAAGGCGACAAATAGCGAAGTAGTACCACAATGGAAGATGAAAAAAATTCTTATTAGGGAGTGAAATAGAGCATTAAACCTTAATGGAACCCACCGAGCCATAATGAAGAACTATCTAGTGCTTGTTTGGTAGGGGTTTTGATAATTGATTTTTTTTATCGTTAGAGATAAAGTGGGTCCTACCTATGAGAGAAGAATTCAAAAATGACGACTGAAATAGTGAAATAACAATCAGAAAATTGATTTTAATTGACTTAAAAGCTCTACCAAACAACCTCCTATTCAGAGATAAGGCTTGAGAGAAATTGAGCGGAGGTTCGTATAGACTAATATTGAAGAGTCAACGCATGAGTTCTGGATAGGGTGAATATGTCACTTAACTCAGAGCTAGTTGGATCTCCTCGAAATGCATTCATGATTTTAATTTAATATGCATAATTTTTAAACACAATTTAATTTTGTATTGAATTCGAGCTGGAAACTTTAAATTATTGTTTAAGCCTTATTTTTTTTTATTTATCAAAATACATTTTTAATAGTGATTTAATCCCACTTCAACTACACATTCTTTAATAAAATAATATTACACGTAAATTCAAAATTTTTCTTTATTTTTTAATCACACACTTTCTGTCAATACATCATTCAAAAATACATTTTTTTTAACAAGAATGAGGCTCAAACGAGGGCTAAATATGCTCTCCGACCACCTTTATTATAAGAAACCGAAGTAAGGAGCTTTCAGTTATTATTGAAATTTGAGTGTGTCGAATAGAATTACAATAAAGCTAATTGCATGCTGAGTTTTCTTAACTTATCCCCCAATTTGATAGTCATTATTTTAAAATTCTTTAGTTCTCATTTTTATTTTCAACCACATTTATACAATAAAATATTTCATATGTAAAACTCAATCATTTCCCTATTTTTTAATCGCTCATTCTTAAAAAATTACTATTTAAAATCCTTATTTTTTTATCAAAATAATGCCATCATAGGAGCTTAATAATAAGAGCAAACAAATATAACAATCATGCTAACAAACAAGCTTCGTGACAGAAATTAATAACAGAGAAACATGTGGCGCAACACAATTGGACAAATAAAAAAAAATAAAAAAATAGTCCCTGCTTGCAATCCCTTTGAGTAGCATTATTCCAAATATAACTTGCACTGAATTTCAAACCATCACATGGAAACCACGTGCGTCGTGCGCAAATGAACGACGGCGTACGATTGAACCTAACGGTTTGAAAATGAAAACCCCACGCTTCATTGAAACCCCAGACCTTAATTCTGTAGAATAATTTACAAGAAAAAACCAAATTAATTAAAAAGAGTGATTGCGTGTCTGTCAGAGAGAAAATCGCGCAGTTCTTCACAAGTTGTTTACAATTTACAAATAAGCAAATCTTACATCAGATCATCTTATGACCACGTTAGCATACTTTTTTCTGAAGTCGCAGAGAGGGGTAGGAAGTGGCGGTGGAGGGCTGGTCCGAGTACAAGGAATATGCCATTCAACTAAAAAGTGATTGCTTTCTTAATCGCGAACATTTCGTATTTCTTTATTTAAACTAAATTACATGCGCATAAGCAGACCCACATTTCCTTTCTTAATCATTTTCTTCGTTCAGGTAAGTACATCTTTCCTCCAATTATAGTTGAAGTTTAAATTGTTCTGCATGTAAAGTTGTGATTTTTCTGGATTATTGTAGAGAGTTTGAGCTATTGTTGGATTGTGATGCTGGTAATCTTCAACGATATGCTAAAATAAGGAAACCCGAGTTTTTTTTTTTTGCTCGTTTGAGTCAAACTTCCGTTATACAAACCCTAATTTCGATTAATTGAATTTCGGGTTTCTTAGTCCGTGGGTTTGTAGTGCCAAGTTGGGGATTTTTCAAGTGAGTGCTTTACTGGATTCATTATTATCGGTCTTGTTTTCAATTAGCAGTTGGTTGTCTGGGAAGTCATGGTATTCATAAATTCCTAGAGCTTGTTGATTTGGCAGTGTCTAGAAAGGGAATATTTAATTTACTTGTAACTATTAACTTTGTGAATGGATTATTGAATTGGTGATTAATTCTAGAGCCAAGTGTAGCGAATTGCAGCTTAATGAATCATTAAAATAGTTGAACTTTCAATACGTGGTTGTTTAGCTTTTTGATTCACGTTTATATGCAGGATTCAGGGGCTGGTCTCAATTGTATGGTTGTTGCTTGAGAAGCAGAGACTACAGAATCTTAAAATCAAGTGAAATGACCGAAATTTTGAGATTCTGCCATGGGATCTGATGAACGGCCTGTTGGTTTACTGGATACTCTAAATATGGATACAGTTAGGACTATTTTCACTCACACATATCCCTATCCACATGAGCATTCACGGCATGCGGTCATTGCTGTTGCTGTGGGTTGCCTATTTTTCATATCTTCAGACAATATGCACACACTTGTTCAGAAGCTAGACAGCAACATTAAATGGTGGTCGATCTATGCCTGTTTGCTAGGCTTCTTTTATTTCTTTTCTTCTCCATTTATCGGGAAAACAATCAAACCAAGTTATTCAAATTTCAGTCGTTGGTAGGTTTTCTTTTCCTTTAATCTCAATAAATTTTTCTGTCTTTAAATTTATTTTGATTAGGATATCAAGCATTAATTGTGCTTGTAAGAGCTACTAAGATCAAGCTAATGAACTTGGATATGGGTGTCTGCACACTGCAGGTATATAGCCTGGATATTAATAGCTGCACTTTATCATCTTCCCAGTTTTCAATCAATGGGAGTGGATATGAGGATGAACCTATCTTTGTTTTTGACGATATTTGTATCTTCCATTTTGTTTCTTCTTGTTTTCCATGTTATATTCCTTGGCCTTTGGTATATTGGCCTTGTTGCCCGTGTGGCTGGAAAGAGACCTGCCATTCTGACAATTCTCCAAAATTGTGCTGTAAGTCCTTAGCACACATCTCAAGGTTGAAACAAGACTTTCCCCAATTCTAATTTTTTTGGCATTGTTGTTTTGTAGGTGATAAGTATAGCCTGCTGTGTATTTTATAGCCATTGCGGTAACCGTGCTATTATGAGAGAAAAGACATTTGAAAGGAGGAACTCTGGCTGGTTTACACTTTGGAAAAAGGAAGAAAGGAACTCATGGCTTGCAAAATTTGTTCGCATGAACGAGTTCAAGGATCAAGTTTGCTCATCTTGGTTTGCCCCAGTTGGGTCTGCTAGTGATTATCCATTTTTATCCAAATGGGTCATTTATGGAGAGGTAAGATTTTTGCTGTCGTAATTTGTATTTTTCCTGATCTGCATTGTGAACAGCTTTATTCAGCTGCTGACATTTTCTCTTTCCAACTCATCTTTTAGTTGACATGTAGTGGCTCGTGTGCGGAATCACCAGATGAAATCTCTCCTATATATTCATTATGGGCCACATTTATTGGTCTCTATATTGCCAACTATGTTGTGGAAAGATCAACAGGGTGAGTTGACTGATGCCACGTTTCAAGTTTACGTTCTCTCAGACGTCCATACCCTGAATTTGTGAATTGAGCCTCTGGCTTTATATTTTAGTTTCGAACCGTTTATTTTCATTTTTTGAGATTCCTGCTCCCCGAGTCCTGACTACAGTAATGAGAGAAAGAGTAAGTAGTCTATTTCATAATCCAACCTTGCCATTACCACCTGTCTTTTGTATATAAATTGGGTTGTCTGTATCTTTGAATTCCTCCTTGTGTTTTATCATCATAAAATTTGATAACATGTAGTCCCTGAATATTTGATAATCAGTCTGGTATTTCCTGTTCATCTTATTTGCCAGGCCATTCGTTCTTTTTCCCCCTTCCCTCTTTTTTATAGTTGAATACTTGCTATATTCGTTAATGTGTGCAACAATCAACAGATGGGCTCTTACTCACCCTGTGTCACAAAAAGAATTTGAGAAGTTAAAGAAAAAGCAAATGAAGCCTGATTTTTTGGATATGGTTCCTTGGTACTCGGGGTATGCCAATCAAATCTCTCTCTCTCTCTCTTTCTCAGTCAGATGGAAAAGTGAGGGATTTCATCTTCAATGATTTTACTGTACCTAATGATTTGATGCAGGACATCTGCCGATCTGTTCAAGACAGTTTTTGATCTACTGGTATCAGTAACTGTATTTGTTGGACGTTTTGACATGCGTATGATGCAGGTTTGTGTTACTATTGGTACTGTGATTTAAATTGATTGTATTGAATAGTGGTAAAATCTCCTTTTTTATATCTTGTTATGCTTTCATGTAAACAAATTAAGCTGCAACCTTTGCTGGTATTTTCAAGCTGTACAGTGGATATTAAATTTTTGCTTTCATCTTTATTTTTTAAGGACAACAGATCATATATATATATATATATATATATATATATATATTGGATAAATATTGCTTTTATCATCATTACCTTTTATTGCATTATCTATCTTTGATTATATCTTGTTTTCCCAATTATCAGGCGGCAATGAGCAAGGTTGAAGATGGTGCTGAGCAGGAGGATCTGTTGTATGACCAATTTAGTGAGAAAGATGAGCTTTGGTTCGACTTTATGGCTGATACTGGCGATGGTGGAAATTCTTCTTACAGTGTAGCAAAGCTTCTTGCTCAGCCCTCAATTAAAGTTTGGAGTAATGATTCTCTGCTCACACTGCCACGTGGTAACCTGCTCCTTATCGGGGGAGATCTTGCGTAAGTTCAAAACTTTTGTTTTTTTCTGATTGTTTTTTTTAAGGATTTAATAGTAATACTTTAGAGAGGAAGTGATTTGCGAGATGCAATGTGACTTGTTTGGCAGATGAACTGTTAACTTTGAGGTTTGGTGCGTTTTGGGATGTTTATTTAGCATTCTGAAGGAAATATACATCATTTATGAAATCTTTTACAAATGATATTATTTCCTTGTTCTCGCATTTGATATGTAATTAAAACTTATAAAAATATTATAGCAAACATATTCATTATGAGCAGTATTAACTTTTTGCTAAGGACCATAAGAGGATAGCATCTATTTGTCATTTGAAGGTTACATTGCTCCTCCTTCCCCCCCCCCGCTCATTTTAGATTACATTTTCAGTACATTATATTGAATTTACTCGGCTTCAAGATTGATTTCCTGTATAATGAATAACAGATTTTTGGTGATTTTATACATACCAAAGAAAAACATCTTCTAAAGCTTAGGTGCCAGATGATGATTCACAGTTTAAAATTTGAAGGGACAAACTGCTGCAAAATCAATATAACATACTATTGCTACATAATTTGATAGACTTTTTTAGAATTTTAATATAAAGCACTTTCCACATCTCTCTTTATCTCTGGCTCTCCAATCTGTTCCAGCATCCACCTTTGAAATTTATCAGGATTTGTAGTCCTCTAGTTAAAGCTCCTGCAATGCAATAGTTTTTATTTGTTTATTTATTTCTACTTCTCAAGGGGAACAGATAGAACCTATCAATTAGTAGTCTAATCTAAACTCCATCTTTTGCTTAATGAATTAACTAATTTCCTCCTTTTCGCCTTTTAAATTCTTTGATGTTATATGGATTTACTTGTAGATATCTATTAGTGAAATATTAACTAGTTTGCATGCTTTAATACGGATGATATGTGTTTTCGAGCCTTTATTGACTTTTCTCTGGTGTTTTATCAGGTAGATAAATCTTCACTTGTCTGATTTACAGATATCATATAGGTCAAGTTGATTTTACTGTGTAATTTTTGAATGTTTTAAGATTTGTTATTGAATTATGGTTGGCCATTAGAACTTATGCATGCGATGTTTTTGCATAATAATGTCATGGCCACGTGGTTTTCACTCTCCAAACTGCAAGGTATTATGAACGAGAGATGTATTTGTTTTATTAGTTAAAAGTATGAATAGCTTTGCCAGACGGAAATATTTTTTCGAAGTCAGCATGTGTTTTTTTTTTTTTTTTTTAAAGAGAAGATACATGCTATTCCTCACATTTGCAGGTGTCAATTTAAAGGCCACATTATAGCCGTAGTTGAATTTTTGAAAATTTATAGCTTAGAAATATTATGAACAAAACTTGAGCTGCGCAATCCCTGAAATGGTCAGATCTTACATTATATATTGGTTTATTTTTTATTTTTTATTTTTTTGAGATAGCTATCCTAATCCATCAGCATTTACATATGAGAGGCGTCTTTTCCGTCCATTTGAATATGCTCTTCAGCCTCCATTCTGGTATAAGGAGGATCATATAGCTGTAAACAAGCCAGAATTGCCTTCTGGGATTGCAGATCTAAAGCAGTACGAAGGGCCTCAGTGTTTTGTCATTCCTGGAAATCATGGTTAGTTTTGGTTCATTGTCAATGGCTCAGTTGTCTTATGTATAGTTTTGCTATTTTATTGCTTTAGTCCATGTTACTTTTTGTATTTCAATTGATCTTTGCTGCTCTACAGATTGGTTTGATGGCCTTCAGATATTTATGAGGTACATATGTCACAAGAGCTGGTTAGGTGGATGGTTGATGCCTCAGAAGAAAAGCTATTTCGCTCTTCAGCTTCCTAAAGGATGGTGGGTGTTTGGTCTTGACCTTGCTCTGCATTGCGACATTGATGTATACCAATTCAAGTTCTTTTCAGAACTAATAAAGGAAAAGGTATCATTTCTAGCATCTAGGTAGTGGTTGTCATATTGCGAGTTTGTTGGCATGTTAAAAAGACCTGGAAGAATGGTTGATTTTAGTTTTGCATCACAGCATCTCATGTAAATGCGAACAGCTTGGGTTCTTCCATCAGATTTTTGCCCACCAATTAACTATTACTCTAAAAGAAACACAATGGAATTCTAGGCACCTTAATTTTCTTTTAAACTAAAATTTTTTAACACTAAAGAAACATAACGGTCCCTATGTGTCAAGTCACAGTCATCTCTGCAACTAATGTTTGTTTCAGTAGGAGGTTTAAACTAGCTTACAGTTTTCATCTTATGTACTTTCCATCTCTTTTTCTTTTATTTCTTTCTCTTCCACCGCTTTTATCCTTATTCTATTTAGAAGATCCTGTATGAAGTTTTTCATCAATATCTCAGGTTGGGGACCATGACTCTGTGATCATTATGACCCATGAACCTAATTGGCTTCTTGATTGGTACTGGAATGATGTGACTGGAAAGAGTGTATCACACCTGATATGTGACCATTTAAGAGGGAGGTGTAAACTTCGAATGGCTGGGGACTTGCATCATTACATGCGTCATTCATATATTCCGTCAGAGAAGCCAGCATATGTGCAACATTTGCTTGTTAATGGTTGTGGTGGGGCTTTTTTGCACCCTACTCATGTGTTTAGTAACTTTACCACTTTATATGGGACATCCTATGAAAGCAAGGCTTCTTATCCTTCATCTGAAGACTCAAGCAGGGTACTTAAACTGAATTACCATATTATTTCATCATAAGTTATTCTTTTCTACCGTATTTGATGCTTCTTTGTGTCAATAATTTTGATGCAGATTGCTTTAGGAAATATATTGAAGTTTCGAAAGAAAAATTGGCAGTTTGATTTCATTGGCGGTATTATTTATTTTGTCTTGGCCGTTTCAATGTTTCCACAGGTAAAACATTTTACTGGACTTTTGGCACAGATTACTCATGATTGAATGAGCATCAAGATCTGAAAGTTCGCAAACAAATGACTAATTAGTTTCCGGCCTTTTCTAGTGTAAGCTAGATCACATCTTGCAGGATGATACATTTTCGGGTCACTTGAAGAGCTTTTTTGGCACAGTATGGGATGCATTCCTTTATATGCTGGGGTACTCATATGTATCCTCTGCTGGCGCTTTCTTATTGTTAGTTACTGCTTTCACTTTTGTACCTTCAAAAGTGTCTCGAAAGAGGAAAGTAATAATTGGGATTCTTCACGTTTCTGCACACCTGTCTGCAGCATTAGTTCTCATGTTGCTCCTGGAATTGGGTGTTGAGACATGTATCAGGCATAAATTGTTGGGAACTTCAGGTGATAGCGTGTTTTTTATCACAAAGTTGAAATAATATGTTTTTGTAACTTGTACAATTGCATATGGTTTTTTATTGAGTTAGAAAAATACGTGTAATAGGATGTCTAGAGAAGTGCCATGGAGGTTGCTACATAGAAAAAGGGATTTCTAGAAGAATATATAAATATTATTAAGAGCATTTATAATGGACTTGCCACGAGTTTAAGTTAATTGTAAAACGCAGTCAATGCACTAGGGTTGTAAGTCTTCATCTTTTCACTTTAGATGGGTTTGCAAGACTTGTCGAAGATAGGGTTCCTTGGTATATATAGGATGTTATTTGTTGATGATATAGTTTTAGTTAATTAGACTAAGATGGGGTTAAATCACAATTCAGAACTTGGAGGAAAACTTTGAGATCATAAAGTTTTAGGTTAAGTAAAATTAAAGCAGCGTGTGAAAATTTTCTTTTAGTGACATCATCATCATCATAATAATAATAATAATAATAATAATTGTAGAGGATCGTCCTAAAGATTGTTTGTGGCAAGTATTTATGATCGATTATTAACGAAGAAAAAGTAGTCATAGAAGATGTAATCCATAGGTTTGGAAGAGCTGGATGAAATGAAAGAAGTGCTAAAGGAATTCTATATAACTGGAAGATTCTTTTGAGGTTTAAACTTTAAGTTTTATAAATAGTTATCTCACATGTTATGCTTTATAGTGCTGAATTTTGAGATGTTAAAGACAATATGTCCACTGGACGAAGTGGCAAAAATGAGGATGTTAAGGTGAATGTGTAACGATTCTAGAATGGATAAGGTAGCATTGAAGAATATATGCCAACAAGTGGAGTTGGCATAAGATAAATTATGAGGGATAAAAATGTTGGGATGTGTTTTGCATAAATCTAAGAAGTTCTTTTTCACACAAGTGATCGGATGTCAGTGGGACAAGTTAGAAGAGGAGAGGTAGACCAAAATTACTGTGTGATGTTGCAGTTGCGAGGAATCTAGTTTCATTGGATATTCCAGCAATTCTACCAATGAACCTAACGGATGGCAAAAAGGGATCCATGTAGCTGACCCAAGTATCTTGGGAATAAGGATTTAGTTTTTGCTGTTGTACAAATCCATCAGTGTTAAGCCTACAAATCTTTTTTTTTTCTACTTTGTTTTTTTTATTCTCATAGTCATTTTTACATTGAACTTGATCAACAAATATGTTTACTATTTAACATACATACATAGAAATATTTTTATTCTGATTGATTGAAGATATACTGGGGGCATTTTATCCATAATTGAGTGGAATAGGCTGCGAATACGTGCAGTGAAAACTGTTGGTCCAGACGCATGCTCATTTGTGCTAGAATACATTAAGTTATCTATCAATTGGGTTCCACAAACACTCTCTCCTTCTCTGAGATTTTTTGGGCTTTATTTTCTCTCCATCTTTTGTTTTTGTGAATCAACACTTTTGTGAAGGTTTGTGGTTTTGACTTATTATTGCCAAAGTCTAGCCTGTGTTTCTCCTATTGATGCTTCATTGACTAAATTGGACGTTTGCCTAAGTGATCTAAGGTGTCATCTCAGGGTATCATACTTTATATCAGTGGTATCGGTTGGTGGAAAGCAAGCATTTTCCTGATCCAACAGGCCTCCGGGCACGTATGGAGCAATGGTCATTTGGCCTTTATCCAGCATGCATCAAATATCTCATGTCTGCATTTGATGTTCCTGAGGTGAAAATGTTCAGTCTTCTTTTCCTGCTTTTCTTTATCTTTTCTTCTGAGTTTCAATCATATGATTTCAGGTCATGGCCGTCACTAGGAACAATATTTGCAAGAATGGGATGGCCTCGCTCTCGCGTGGAGGGGCTGTAATATATTATGCTTCTGTCTTCCTTTACTTCTGGGTTTTCTCAACTCCAATTGTCTCATTAATTTTTGGAAGCTACCTTTACATTTGCATCAATTGGCTTCACATACACTTTGATGAAGCATTTTCGTCACTTCGTATTGCTAACTACAAGGCATTTACACGGTTGCATATTAACTGCAAAGGCGATCTTGAAGTTTTCACCCTTGCAGTAGATAAGGTAAGAAATGCATTCTGCATGATTTTGTACCTGATGAATACGAGAAGTCCTTTGATCCGATTTTCTGATCTGGACTGTGTCAATAATTTTTTCCCCCTTTTCCAGTTCTTATTTCAATTTTCTCACAAGTGTATTCATGCGGTGGTTCACTTTGATGCATGTAGTGAGTATTGAAATGTTTGCAAATTTAAATGCAATTTAATTGCATTTTTCAAGTGGGAAGGAAGTCCTAAATTTCCTTATTGGTCAATTTATTGATTTGAGAACTTTGAGTATCCTCGATTAGTGGTCATCGTATAGGCTACTAGTCAAGCCATTAGTGAAGGAATTTTAGCTTGGACAAGGTTCCTCACAAATTCTAGAACTCCAGAACCACTTTCGCTGCCATCTTAAACGGCTCATCCCTTGATACACCTGGGTGGCCCTCCATGTTGTCAAGATTTTAGGTTTCTTTTTAGTTAAAAAAAAAAAAATATATATGAAAATTTTTCCATATATCAGCTCAGTATAATTTTTTATTTTTTTTGGGTCCCCCTGGCTCCACCCCTGCTCAACATACTATTGAGCATTACAAAAATATGGACGATGAACAGGGTTGAAATGTTTTTACTTCCCTTTAACATAGAATCTTTTACCATCGCTCATTGACAAGTGGGACTTGAGCAAAATCATGTGAGTTTGAATATTCTGATCATGATGTCTAGTTTGCATTTGTTTTTAGTTGTTTATACCCTTTCAATCCATCTCCTTGTTTTGAGTTTAGAATAAGGGAAAATGCTCTTTTCAACCTATGAGTGAAGATGCTTTAAAGAGTGCCTTTACATAGTTCCAACACCTTCCTCTTTCTTATTCCCGTTTTCATTTTGTCGAGTTGATTTTTCTTGCATGGACTATGCAGGTTCCAAAGGAATGGAAGCTGGATCCAAGTTGGGAGGGGGAGTCGAAACAGCCACAAAGCCTTAGCTATCTCAGAAGGTTTCCTAGCAAATGGCGGTCAGTTTCTTCCCATCAGGATCCTGTAAAGACTGTAAGGATTGTTGACCACTTTGTTATTGAACAAACACAAAGATCTGAATCTGCATCAATTAATGGATCAGTCACCCATTGATCTACTACGTCTTGATTTGTAACTTTATTTGCTTCGGTGCAAAAAACGAAGTAACTGTACAGTTATAGGATCCAAAGAAAGCACGATTCATCATATTTTAGTCCTTATTTACTGATATCCTTGGCTAGCTTTTGATTCCTATTCATGCAATTACCTCAATCTTTCAACGTTTACCGATATCCTTGGCTAGCTTTTGATTCCTATTCATTTAAGTTTTACATTCTTGCAAAGATTTAATCTTTAAATCATTTACAGTTTTATTTCCCACTTTATTGACTATAGCTGAGCCTGACTCTTACGGATTTTATTGTTTAACCTGTATGCCAGGTAGATGAATTATTCATGAAAAAACACTATCAGAAGGTTATATACCATTTTTTTAACTCACAAGTATAATTCAACCAGTTTTTCCTTAATTTTGCAAGTAAAACATTCTCTAGATTTATGAGTAATTGATCGTCAGCAGTCTAGGTGTCAATTTAGCGTTCGGACATTTTAAATGAAAACCCATTTCCTACATCTTATTGATACTTCACAATTTGGTCCTCGTTCACTTTTTCTACATAAGTTTAAGCACTCGTAACTTTTGATCTATAACTTCTAATTGTGATTTTACTTTTTATTTTTTTGCGTTGAAATGCAAATTCAATGTCAAATGGTGTATCTTTTGTCTTGATAAGATCTTCTTGCTTAAATTTATGCACTAATTCCTTCACACAATCCCAATGTAGGTCAGGTTCATCGTTTCATAACTTTTGGTCCTATGCTCAAAACACTTCTTTTTGTATCAATCATCTTCAAAATTGGATTTTAACCTACAAAAGCATTATCTTGCACTAAATTAAGTAGAATTTCGTTTAATTAATTCGTATTAGGGAAATTTAAAAATCTAGATAAACATGTTAAATATCATTGTCGTACATGACTTCGACATAGACACGTCAATTAAATAATAAAGGAGAATGCTAGAAAAATTTTCGCCTTCGTATCATTTAACGTCACCTTATTCCAATTTGTATATTTAGCATTACTCAATATTAGGGCTGGACATTGTTCGATTCTAATGAGAACCAAACTGGGCTCGAAATTTTTCGAACATTTAGTAAGTGAAACTGTCGAGTCCTAATTTAATTATAAAATCGTTCGAGTTTGGTTCCATTCAGTTTGGTTCGATTCAATTCGGTTCTCAAGTTCCGTATTATAATTAAACTTTTTAATATTTACAAAGTTATATTAATTCAACTAATGATATGTGTTGCGTGTTGTCACACCTGTCCTACCCACCTGGGCCAATGGCCCACTCATCCTGATCCACGTGGCATTCCTGCCGAGGTGGCACACATTGCCGAGGTGGGTTATATCCGAAGTGCTTCAAGCCGAGGTCCATCCGACGAGCCTTCTCGATCCGATGTACGCGAGTCTGTCGAAATCCAACTACCGAGGCCCACGACCCGAAGCATGGAACCTGTTGAATGTAGCTGAGGTCCTCAAGTGGAAGTATTTTTCAAACGGTCGAAGCCCCGAAGCTGATGCACGAGCCTCTTAACCACAAGGAGTTTCCTCCACAGTCACTTCTCCCAAGAGATCGCCTACTCAGAGATCTTATTCGAATGACTGATGGAACGTTTGTCACAAGCATAAAGGTCAAGTCTTGTCACTAGTATGGAGGACCTGCGCAAGCAATAAATGCGCCGTAAGCTAGCAAGTCAAGCCCCATATCTAAGAAAAGACGTTTGAACTAAAGAGATGAGGCCACGTGCCACTTCATCCAAGGGCTCCCATTTCATATGTATCACTATAAATACTTCTATTGTGTAATGTCAAAGGCTAATGCAAGAATCAATACTAAAGACTACATTTACTCAACTCTCTCTCATTTACTTGCAATACACAAATCGAGTTTATACACTTTTACATATACATTTACGAGCACCGGTTGGTAATTATTGTACAATCGGATTACGAACAACCCGCCGAATTCCGAACTTCACCGTCCCGTGTCGTTGGGCTACTCCCACGCCCCTTTGAACCGCTCGTTTTAGACCGTCCACGTGTCTTAGCGTGTTGGACATTCGCCCACGCAAGCGCGGGTTAGACCGGCATCTGTTGGCGCACTTTTTGGGGTCAACAGATTGGCGCCGTCTGTGGAAAATCATACCATAACCACGAGCAACCTTGTGGTAAAAGCTTATTGAAAAACATTTGGGCAACCCTCCTTGAAAAATGATTTGTTTTTTAAAAAGAATAGGAGGAACCCCTATCACTTAGAGAAATCTAAGTTTGAGAAAAGAAAAATGAGTTCTAAGGAAGATACTCCCCCAAGGAGGGTAAGAGAAAGCACGAATGTGCCTCCCCAGCCTGCTGCCCTAGCAGCTCGACCGAGGCTCCACCACCACCAAAGGAGAGGTGGGATGCGTGCGACAGCACGACTATCAAGAGAAATGGCTATCATGGCAGCCAACTTGAGGGATATAGCCAACCAAAACTTAGCCATGAGGGAGCTTATGGCCCAAATGCAAGGCCAGGAAGGCTTCCCCATTCCTCTATATGCCCCCCACGGGCACTATCAGCAAGAGGACGAGGTTCAGAGTCATAGGGCTGTCTCGCAGACTATGGCCGAGGTGAAAGCCCATTCGAGAGGGAAGTGGGAGTCGACATTTCCTCCAACTATGCATCTGGCCGACCTACCGAGGTCCAAATGAGCCATGATAACTTCCCACCTCCATATGAGCAAGACCCAAGACATAGGAGAGCAGGAAGTGTTTTTGACAGAATCAGCCCTGCCGAACCGAGGCCCAGTCAACAGCCTCGGACGAGGCCACAGCCTCCACCTCCGATGCCCCAGCAGCCGGAGAGAAGGCATGAAAATGTCCCCCGCACTGTCCCGCCTAGAAGTAGGCCGCAGAGGAGGGAGGAAGAGGCTAGGAACCGGCCCGGACCCTCTCACCAACAACCAAGGTACGAGGCCGATGACTATGATTCTGATGAGCAGCAGAGATCCTGTGACTTGGACGATGATGATGAGAACCTGCCATTCTCAAGAGAACTAAGAAATGCCCAGGTCCCGAGCTACTATGTCATGCCAAAAATACCAAAGTATGATGGAAGAGGTGACCCAGAAAAGCACCTCAATGCTTACAAAACTCACATGAACCTGAGGGGCGTCACCCCAGTCGTGAAGTGCAGAGCATTCCATTTAACCCTCGGTGGAGCGGCTGAAATCTGGTATAGTAGGCTACCACTTGGGAGCATCCGAAGCTGGCCCGAGTTCAAGACTACCTTCTTGAAGAGGTTCGCAGTGAGCAAGGAAGGAGAGGCCCCCATCCAGCGTCTCCAAGACATGAGACAGGCACATGGCGAGTCCCTAAAAAGCTTCCTATCGCGCTTCACCAACGAGATGACCTACTGCGTACAAGTCACCGACAGAGAAGCACTATCTTCATTAAGAGGAGGCTTGAACATGAACACCCTATTCTGGAGGGATGTGCAGAATCAAGACCCCACCAGCTATGACGCCCTACTAGAGATGATGAGAAGGGAGATAATCAATGAAGAATTGATTGAGCATAGGAACAGGGCAAGCAGAGGCCTCCCACCTCCTCAAAGACAGCGAGGTAGGGGCCCGACCTCCCACCTCATGGACTACCAGATGAACTAAGCCGAAATTGAGAACTCCGACCAAGCTCTGGCCACCACAACTCTGAACGCGGTTCCTACCTTGGCATATGAGGATGTCAACCCAACTGCTGACCCACATCAGATGGAGGCCCAGCAGGGACCCCGTAGAGGGAGAGGCAGAGGCCGAGGTTTTGCACCTAGAAATAGGTCCAATCCGAACCTCCTAGGATACTGTTTGCACCACAGGTCCTACGGGCACGACACCGCGGATTGCAGAGACTATGCACACCGCTCCCGGCAGGAACCCGCCAGAGAAAGACATGACTCGCTCCAGGCGAATAGGCCCCCACCCAGGTACGACAACCGACATGGGCGTGAGGCAGCCGCTCCTCGTCAAAGGGATGTATCCCCAAGGTGAAGAGAGCAAGACATAGAGAGGACCAGGGAAGGGCGTAGACACCGAAGAAATAGGCAAGCTCAAGATGAGGCCCCTATCCACGAGATAGATACCATATTTGGAGGCCCTTAATTTGGCGGTGAAACACGAAATGCCAAAAGAAATTATGCTAGGGAGGCTAAGCACCCCCCTCTGACGAGTTACATTGTGGACAGTAGCTCTCGAAGAAACCAAGTACCACCCATTGTCTTCATCCAGGAAGACGCCGAAGGAGTTCATTACCCCCATTGCGATGCGCTGGTGGTGAGGGCTGTCATAGCTCGAAATGGGCTCAAACGAATGCTAGTCGACAACGGTAGCTCCGTCAACATCCTATTCGGGTCCGTCTTTGATAAGATGATATTGGACCATCAGTTGACGCCCATCACCACTCCATTGTATGGATTTATCGAAGATAACATCACTCCAAAGGGAAAGACAACACTGGCAGTGGAGATGGGAGAATCTCCTCAAACTACGATGAACTTCATGGAATTCCTCGTAGTTGACAGCCGATCGATTTACCACGGAGTCTTGGGCAGACCAGCCCTAAAGAAATTGGGAGCAGTCACCTCCATCCACCACCTATGCATGAAATTCTCAACAGAAAATGGGGTGACAACGGTGAGAGGCGACCAGAGAGGCTCGAGAGAGTGCTATCTAAGCTCCATTAAGAAGGTAGAGCCCCGGGACGTCCACGTGATCATGGCTGATGTGGTCATGGCGGATGTCCCAGGTGACGCTCCCACTGATCAAGAAGATGTTGATATGATTGACGCACCGCTTAATCAGGAGGTGCTAATCGTTGATGAAATCGACCCCTGCATAATGGAACATGAGCCTCAAGCATCCTCTGTAGAGGAACTTGAGAGCTTCTCAGCCGACCCCCGAGATCCGTCCAAGGTGTTGAAAGTAGGCAGAGGCCTATCCAACATTTTGAGAGAAAAGATTAAGGACTTTCTAGGAAATAACCTTGACGTCTCTGCTTGGAGGCATGAGGACATGGTGGGCATAGACCCTAAGATCAGCTGCCACCACTTGAAAATTGATCCTAATGTTGCCCCGCATAGACAAAAAAGGAGAGCCCTCAACCTTGAGAGGTATGAGGCCCTAAAGGAAGAGGTTCAGAAGCTCATCCAAAATGGCTTCATCAGGGAGGCCACCTATCCGAGGTGGGTCTCCAACCCGATCTTG